AGCAATGGAGAATCCACTAGCTAAGTTTTCCCAATGGCTAATTACTCTCACTATTAATTTTTTTTGTTTGCTTAATTCTAGTCTGTATTTGTCTAATTCCACCTTCCAACCACTGGATTTCATTTTGCCGTTGTCTTCAAAATGAGAGAGCACATTACCAACCTTTGCCCCATGTAGGTACTTTTAGATCATAATCAATCTCTTAAACTTCTCTTTGAAGAGCTAAATTGTCTCATTTTGTCAAAATACAGGAGTTCAATCCATTTATTTCTTCAGATAGCTGGAATGCAACTTGCAAACTTCCCAGTCGCTCTGCCAGCATAAGCAACATGAACAGCTAGGCACCAGGGCTCCAGTCCTGCAAACCCTTATGCACAAAAGTAGTCGCAGTGACCTGGAGTTCATGTTCTCAGAGTGAATATACGTGAGTATTTAAAATATATGGGTCAGTGTTCACAACAGAACCCAGAGTCTCGTGTGGTTTGAGTTTCAGACTTGAAATTCAGGACATATTAGCTGAAACTTTCAAACAAGCTCAGGTGGTTGATGGTTTTATCTAGCAATCCTGAGTTTTGTAGTTTTGCACAGGTTTCACATAAAACCCAGCAAAGCTCACCTGATCTGCCTGCATTTGGCTTTAAGCTTTGACCACCCACACACACACACCCACCCACCCACACCAAAAGTCCTTGGAAATGATATTTCTATATCATACCCTAGAAGGGCCAAGGTTCTGAAATGGAGATGGGCCTTCCTCTTCCACCATGACTACATTTAAATATTCTCTTAACAATGAACTCACGGTAAGTGAAAACAATGAGTCCTTGTGGCACCTTAGAGACTAACAAATTTATTTGGGCACAAGTTTTCGTGGGCTAAAACCCACTTCATCAGATGCATGGAGTGAAAAACACAGTAAGCAGTATATCTATTACAGCACATGAAAAGATAGGAGTTGTCTTACCAAGCAGGGGGTCAGTGCTAATGAGGCCAATTCAATCAAGGTGGACGTCACCCATTCCCAACAGTTCACAAGAAGGTGTGAGTATCAACAGAGGGAAAATTACTTTGTGACCCAGCCACTCCCAGTCTTTATTCAGGCCTAATTTGATGGTGTCCAGTTTGCAAATTAATTCCAGTTCTGCAGTTTCTCACTGAAGTCTGTTTTTGAAGTTTTTTTGTTGATTGTTCTCACTTTATGGCATCCTAGAGCATTAGAACAGCCTATACCACATAAGCGAACCAGACTGCATTCAGCCAGGGTGGAGAAGAGACTGTTCATATCTCTAGGCTTTGTTTGCATGGCCAACATAAATCACTGCCTGTAAGTTTATAACCCTGAGAAGAGACAACATGAGAATGTAAATTTGCTAAGTTCTGTCAATAAAAACATTGATTTAAAAGGATGGGCAGGAACTGGAGATGTAATTGCTAGATCTACTCATGTCATGTGCCACCAACAATATTCTCGGTGCAGACTATCCCTCGCATATTGCTACACTTCATCTGGGAGAGTGGTGAGAAATTCCTATTTTGACATTCATATTTGCCTCTCTAATGAGAGATAATCAGCATTCAATATCACATCAGTGCAATTTGTATAATCGATGAGAACACATTGAAAACAATTTCTCATAGAGCACCTCTGCATAAGATATTTATGGCTAAATGGTAAATGTAAAAAAATAACTTCAGAGAAAAATAATATGCATTTTAAAGACTGCAATTTTCAGAAAGTGCTTCTGAAACCCTACTTATTGGGCAGTAAAGAAAACAAGTGTTTAGAATAGAAAGAGTTTGGATGAATTCATCAAGGATGATTTATTCATTCTGTTCTGAACAAGATTTCAGTTCCTCACATTGCACAAACTGGGTGCGTTTTATTTTTACTGTGGACGGTCTGTGTTTGTGTGTTCATACTGTGCTACACCAGGCTCATCTGTATCGTTTTTAATTTTAAGGTGAGCATTTTAACTGATAAACTAGTGTGTTTTAAGTTACATAACTGCCTAGATCGTTTCAATCCCGGTGGGCTCTTTCTACAGGAAATGCAGAGCTGGGGTCATTTGAAAGCACGAACATTTTGTGCTCAGTTCCCGCCCTAGGAGCTCATGTGTTGTTGAGTCACTTCCTTGCTCATATGCTGGCAGTGCCTCACAGCTCTAACTCAGACCAGAGCTCCCATTGCTAGGTGCTGTACAGACACTTCGTAGGAAACACTCCCTGCCCCAAAGCGTTCCTAGTCTTACACCACCCACGACGGATCCAGAACTGGGGGCCTTTGGACGTCAGCGTCTAGCCTGGCACCCAACACTCCCCAAAGCCAACTTCCTTAGGGAAGGACGGATGACCCAGCGATCAGGGGACTTGAGACCCACATTCAATTCCATGATTCTCCCCAGGGTGCCTACGTGCCTTGCTTAGGCACGCTGGAAAACTTTACCCTACGTCCTGTTTTCAAAAGCCATTAGGTATGTAAGAGCCTAAGTCTCATTAGATTTTTAGTCACTTTTGAATTTTTTCTCCTTAGTCTCTGGGCCTCAGTTTCCCCTTCTGTGCAATGGGGATAATAGCACTGCCCTGCCTCACAGACATGAGTGATTGTGAAGAACTTAGACACAATGGTGACATTGGCCATGTATGTTCAGTAGGTTTCCCCATACAACCCATGTGTTATATTGCCTCTGGGAAAGCCAGTGGAACGTCAGCCCCTGTGGGGAATGAATGGGTCCTTTCACGGGCCAGCCAGTACACACCGCCAGGGGCCTGCAGCGAGCTACCAGACATTGCATGCTACCCAGACCAGCTCGGCTTTCAGTCACTCGGCTAGAGATAGCCATTGAAAGGTCACAACCCCACTGGCTGGCCAGATTCTGTCCCCCTCCCTTTAAACGTGGGGTTTCACTTCCTCCCTGTGGCTGGGCGCTCTACTCACGGCAGGCACCTCCTCCTGGCCATTCCAGTTATCAGCCAATCCCCTGCCTACAGCTGCACTCGGGCGGTCTCCCTCTGTGGCCCCTCTCTGCTCCAGGAACCCCAGCATCCTCTGTGTGACTCAGCCCTCCAGCCAGCTCACTGTGTGGGTCCCCTTCCGGGGATGGCTATCAAAGTCCCTGCTTCCCAGTAGTCTCAGGCACTCCCCTTATTCACTGCCCAGGAGCCAATCCCTCAGTGACTAACAGGGGGACCCAGCCCTGCCACCTACTTCATGTTCCAGCTCAGGACCCTCTAAACAGCAGCCAGGCGTGGGTCCCTCCTGCACCTAGGGGCCTTTTCCTGAGTCTCTCCCTCACCTTCTGGCCCTCCCCACTCCTCTGGGTTTGCTAGTCTCTCAACTCCCTCCTCCCAGGCAGTAACCGTGAGCTCCTTGTCGCTAACGCACCTCCCTCCTCCCAGGGAGTGACAGCAGATACCTCCCTGCAGCCTCCTCTAGGCCAGTCTCCTGTCTTTATATGAGCCCCACCTGCCCCCACACAGGTGAGCTTCCCCTAATCAGGGCTTTCCTCCCAGGCTTCATTCTCCCTGATTGCAGCCTAATTGGCTGCTTGGGCCCAGTTGGCCCAATTCAGCTCTGACAGGGCCAGGATGGGGAGAACACTTTCTCACAGTCCCCAGAAGGAGGAATTTGTGTTTTCTCAGACTGGGTCTCATGCTGTGTAGTACCCACTCCTTGTGTCGTCCCGCCGGAGTCAGGGGTGCTGCTTTTGGAAAAAGCTGCTCAGTGTCTCGCCTGGTGAGTTTCCCTCTCAGAAATGTGGTTTCATTGCGATCAGAATTTTCCACGGGGAAGCGTGTCCCTTTGGACTATGTTTTTTGCTTTTCTGATCAGGAGAATCAGAAGGAAGAGTGTCACTGGGAAATTTTTCAAGCCAAATGCCATTTTTCATTTCAAAGTGTTAATCTGAACCAAATTTCATTGCCGTTCAAACGCTGGACTTTGAGCGTTCTAATCTGAAACTTTTCAGAGTTTTTCATTTGACAGACATTTGATATTTTGATGTTTTTATTCCAGTTTGGGAGTGAAATGTGACCACCACCCTCTGGAACAACACATTGGGGGCCTGGAACTAGAGCTGAAAGTGTGAGCTAAGAGCCAAAAGTCTGAAATAACTCATGTCCTCTGCAGCTCAGCACAGAGGAGGACATGTGAAATGCACTCACTAGTGGGGTTCAGAAGCAATTTGACATTTCCTGCAAAAGAAAAATTCTGATTTTTGAATTTAGCATCATCTGCCAATCTAGTGAAATTGCATTTCACCATTTCTTCCAGATTATGCGTTAGGCTGTTGAATAAAACAAGACTTACCTAGACCAGTAACACCCTTTGGGGCAAGCCAGTACATCGCCATTTTTTCAGTTTTCTTTCTGTATGATCTGTCATTAACTTTGATCCACGTGACAATGCCCAGAGCCAAGTTAATTTGAATAGACTGCAGCACCACTTTCAAGATGTTATGGTCGAGTTACAGAGAACGCTGCTTCACCGAATGCTTTAATAAAGTCTGGCTATGCTGAGTCTGATTCTTCAGATTTACACTAGTTTTGATACTGAAGTGACTCCACTAATCTCAATATTAGATTTGCACCAGAGAAAGTGAGAAGAAAGTCAGTTTTGAAGTGGATTTTAGCCCACGAAGCTTATGCTCAAATAAATGCGTTAGTCTCTGAGCTGCCACAAGTATTCCTGTTCTGTTTGCGGATACAGACTAACACGGCTGCTACTCTAAAAGTCTGGCCAGTTTCCTTTAGTGCCACTGCTAATTTTGAAATTCCATTTTAAAAAATGATCACGTTTGTTTGGCCTGGGTTGTTCTTTTATAAACTCCCGCTGCTTAGTTTTTGATTCCATTTTACTTTAAGTGTTGCAGATGTTTTTTATTTGTCCCATTGTTTTACTAGGGATTGAAATTTGATTTACTGAATAGTAATTGCCAGCCAAAGTCATTTTTCCTTTTATAAATATTGGTACCATTTGCCCATCTCAGTCGTTTGGTACCTACCTAGTTCTCCATGAAGAAGAAAACCAGATGAAAGTTGTTGAATGGATTCACATTATCCAGAAACTCTGATGACATTTCCTCCACTTCCTTCAAGTATTCCCTCTCCGAAATCATCTCAGAGAAACGTTGGCATTTTAATACATCTGCTATGCGTATTTGGTTATCTATAGAAATCAAAGCAGTCAAGATCTCATTGTTATTAAGAGGCATAATAAAGAATTATGTGCTTTTAAAGTAAGTCTGTCGAGTAAGTGTAGAAATCTAGATGGTGAATGACAGACAGACACATGAATACAAAGCAGTCTCAAGCGTTGCAGAAAACTCATTTTATCTGTTTTTAGCATGCAAACCTCTGATCTTGAGGAGTGCAGCTAAATGCTCCTAGATGTAGATTAATAATGTTGGGAATTGGACAGGAGACTGGGGGTCGTTGGGGAACAGGGTGCTAATTCCATAGAACGTAGACGCTCCTCGTAACTAGAGCAGGAAATGAGGCAAGTGTTGCTAAGCGGCCTCAAGTGAGCAGAGCAAATGGAGAAATGAGCTCACCGCTCAGTAGGAAAACAGATATTTGCTTGGTAATTTCAGAGCCAAGTGGCCGTGGACATGGATTCATTTTAACAGCATATCCAATTTGCATATCACTCATTCTCGCTGCTCACTCGTGCACGCTGTTAGATAGGGACAATCCAGCGCTAGTCAGGAAACCCGAGTTATGCAGAACAGAAGGAAGCTGTTCATGTAGCCACCCTCTCCTTTGAATTACCCAAGATGCAGCAGGTCAGAGTGTCGCATTGGGCCACTAGTGCACCATGGGTCAGTGCAGTCATCTCAAGACACAATTCAGCTGCTCACATTGGTGTGGCTACCTGAGGGACGAGCAGCATGGCCCCACCTCCCCTCATGCCCCTGTGGGACATTTGAGCCCCCTTCCAGCACCAAGAGGGGGCTGTCCCTGTTCTCCCACAAGGACTGGCTTAAAGGAAAGAAGTTGGAGGTTCCTTGCAAGCGTTCCTTGTATTCAGTACTTCACAGCCTGCCCTGCATCGCATCCTCTTTCCTTATTCCCTCTCCTGCAATAAGGTTTCAACCTAAAGTCCTCGTTACCCAGGCACACAGACCTGGCAGCTGAGGTGTCACTGCAATGAGCCAAACACCCACGATGCTGCTGCACAGGGAGGACCAGCCTGTGGAGATGCCCCACAGGAGTGTCTGCACTGCCCGCCGTGGGGCAGTGCCCTGGGCGGACTCTCTCCCGTGCGTTTGGGGAGGTCAGAGGGCACAGCAGACCGTGTAGCTGGTACAGCCTGGGTGCTTTGTGCCCAGGGCGAGATGAGGCTTCCCCAACCTCAGGCATCCCAGCCTGTGCAAGGCCCGGCTCTTTGTGGCCTCCATAGCCCCCAGCACCCGCAGTCTGGCCAGCACCGTGGCCAGGCAGCCGCTACGGCAGCTTCTTTACACGGCACTGCCGCTCCTGTCCTTCCAGCAGCACCCGACTCCCACCTCCTGCCTTTCAAAGGGTGGCAGCGACTGGCGTCAGAGAGGAGCACAGAGGTTTCTGGTATGATGCCCCTGAGCTACGGGGGATGCAAGTCAGTCTGTGAGGGGTAGGTCCCCATGGGGAAGGAGGCAGCGGTGGGTGGCAGGAAGAGGGCTGAGGAAGGGCCAGCCACTGCCATGCGGTGGATATTGTATTGCAGTGTAGTTGTACCCACCGCAGTTGCACTGGGACCAAGTATCTGATAATAGGCTCTTCAGTCTAGCAGAGAAAGGTATAAGATGATCCCATGGCTGGAAGATGAAGCTAGACAAATTCAGACTAGAAATTAGGGAGAGTAATTTACCATTAGAACAACTGGCCAAGGGTGGGGGTGGATTCTTCATTGCAAACTCTCACCTCAGCCCTGACAATCTCACTGTGCCAAACACATGGCTTGCAGGATATTTACCCCCCACAGAGTAATGTGTAAAGGTATCTGCAGAAAGCTTGTGACTTCTCAAAGCTCAGTCATTGGGGGCTGTATGACCAGGTACCCATCTATTTCCACCCCTCTCTTGCTCTGATCTTTCCTAAATAAACCATCTTTTGTTCTATTACAAGAGCTCTGTGCTGTGCATAGGGTGATCGGATGTCCCGATTTTATAGGGACAGTCCTGCTATTTGGGGCTTTTTCTTATATAGGTTCCTATTACCCACCACCCCCTGTTCCGATTTTTCACACTTGCTGTCTGGTCACCCTAGCTGTGCATGAGCAGTGGTTTAAGGTGAAACTAATAAACTGGGGTGCCCTGCTCCTTTGGGGGCAGAGATCTGGGATTTCTGTGAGTAGCCAAGGTCAGAGGGTGGCTGTTGCAGGGGATTGAGTCAAAGGGGCTCAGGGACTGGGGGGCACCTGTTGATAATCTGAAAGTGGAAGACAGGCCTGGCCTAGCCCAGAGGAGAGGGCTTGAGTGGCTGAAAGGCCAGTGGTGTTAGGGAGCTAACGCCCGGCGAGGCATAGGCAAGACTCCATCACAGTGGAGGCGAATGGGTAACAAGGTGACTCACAATCCTGGGTACCCCACGGACCATCATGTCTCCCCCCCCCCAGCATGTGCATTCTGGGAAGGTTGCAGGCATCTCTATTTTTCCAATTCACCTTCTAAAGGAGGAAGGGTCACCAGGGGCACTCATGAGACCTCAGCTTTGCTGGAAAGTTGCTTCTGACCAGCCTGTGCCGTGCTGACCCAAAGCTGCACTGAATGGTCCAGCCCGAGCTTCTCGCCCCATGTGTCACGGGCAGTGACTCCACCCATGTGAGGAGCCACGTCTGGACATTGCTGAATCTCACTGGGCTGCTCTTATGGGCGGTGTAGAGTCACCTACACTACCAGCTCCTACTTCACTCTCCGCAGACTCTGGCTGGATGAGGTCGCCTCGCACACTCGCCAGGAGAATGCACGTACAGTACCTCGGGTGAAAGAGGGTGGGATATTTCCCAGGGAGCCTTGCTGCTAAATGATGAACCAGCACTCGGCTGAGCCCTCAAGGGTTAACACATTGTTGTTAATGTAGCCTCACACTCTACAAGGCACCAGGAATGGAGGGAGGAGACAGCATGTCAGAGAGAGACAGAGACACACACCGTGTGTGTGTGTGAGAGAGAGAGAGAGACATACACCGTGTGAGAGAGACATGCGTTGCCCCTTCAAGTACGCTGACTGCACTCTACGTACAGTGCCTTTTTAAGTAGATCAGCAAGTTGAGACAGCAGCTGCTGCCAGACCCCCATTGCCCCCCCTCTGTGGAGATGGGGTACAGGAGCCAGAGGAGGGGGACACCCTGACATTAGCACCCCTCTTCCCCTCCCCCCCAGCTCCCGGAAGCAGCTCCAAGGCAGAGGGCAGGAGCAGCACAGGGCAGTGGGGGAGGGACAGCTGAACTGCCGGTAATTGGTAGCCTGTTGGGCGCCTGCCGCACGGGGAACTTAGGGGAGCGGGGAGCTGATGGGGGGCTGCCGGGCCACCCTGGTTCCAAGCCCCCACCAGCTCACTCCAACGGGCTGCTCTTCCTGCAAGCAATAGACAAAGCAGGCGGCTGCCAAACAACATTATAAGGGAGCATTACACAACTTTAAACAAGCCTGTTCTCTAATTGATCAGCAACGAAACAACGTTAACCCGGACGATGTTAAATGAGGAGTTACTGTAGTTCCTTCCACTCTCCGTGCAGTTTTTTTCTTAATTAATGATTTATTGAATCAAGTCATAAAAACATAACTGGTTTCAGTGGCGCCAATTGTGCTCACAGTAGAAGGCAATTAGGTCTCTTCCCCTCAGACAGCGGTCTGTAGTGAACTCATCAAGCAGAAGTGAGGGGGTATTGTTCATGAGAGTGCCTCTCATAGCCGGAGCACCATAATAGGCTGCATTTCAACCAGCTACCATGCAAACACCCCTCCCGCTGCAGCACACCAAACAGCGTAACATGGTGTGCACCAACCTCTGTGGGAGTTGTGATCATCTTTACAGTCTGTGCAAACGCAAGTCTGAGTGCTCTGAGGGTGCTATCTTGCTAATTTAATGCAAACTCTTAAAAACAAGAGCCTAGACAAACCACACTAGCTGTGTATTTCCGATACAGCTTCTTCTCCAGAGCCTTCCACTGAGCCATCCCGCCGCACACCCCCGCATCCAGTGACCCTGAACGCAGCTGGGCAGTGTCTGCTTATGAATGAAAATCCCTCACCTAGCAGCAAATGCCCCACTCCAGACAGCTTTAACCTTCACATCTGAAATACACCCAGGAACGTCGCTAACTAATGCGAAGGGAACCAGCTTCGGGGTTTCTACCTTTAATCCTCAGTTTGAAAACTGGTTTTTATGTATATAAGAGTCCGTGTCTGTGTTCCATTTGTGTCCGTAGCATTTCACATGGCTTCCTTTAGGGTACCTGGGAGGGGCTATTAGTATTTAGCACAGCTATTTACTCATCCTTCAGCTTTTACCCAACTTGTAGCGTTAACCTTGTGCTGACCCTCCTAATGCAGTTTTCCTCTTCAGGACAGTCAGGAGCAGAACTAAACCCACGCTCTGGCCTTTGGATGCTTACCCAGGGCGGGGAGGAACACTTGCATCCACATACAGCCCCACTGGATTCCATGTCATGTTCTTCTGTCAGATGCCTCTGGCTGAGGACAGACACAATCTTCACACTATGTGCTGCTCCTCCCCTATGTGTACCTTCTAACCAAAGCCCTTCGAGGTACTTTGTGCCACAGTGAGTAGAAGGGTTGGAAAAAGGTAGGTATGTGATCTGTGTGTGGAAGGGGGAAGGGATAGCTCAGTGGGTTGAGCATTGAACTCACAATAGCAGGCCAATCCTTGAGGGGGCCATTTAGGGAACTGGGGTAAAAATCTGTCTGGGGATTGGTCCTGCTTTGAGCAGGGGGTTGGACTAGATGACCTCCTGAGGTCCCTTCCAACCCTGATATTCTAGGATTCTAAGTTAAGGGTTCTGGTTTCTAGCAAAACAGATTACCACCTGGAACGTGCACCAAGACAAATAACTTCACACAAACGCTGCAGACTATAATGGTGAGCACTCAAGTACCTGGAGTCCAAGAGTTATGCTCATCCAATTGGAGAACAGAAACACTCCAGTCAAAACAGCCTAAAACATCAA